TGAACTTCATAATGCTATATATCATGTCGCTACTTCTTTGCTTTTGAGCCCTGATTCAACACATCAAAAGGAAGGTGACAAATTAGAACAATTATGTCTTTCTTTAAACGAGAAGCAGTAAGTATTAATAAATAAGTTATTAATAAAATAATAATATATTTATTATTTGATATACTAATATATTAAATTATTATTATTTTCAAAATAGATAAAAATAGCAAATAAATTTTTATATGTACTCGACTACTTTAGCATGTAGATTGAAGATCAATATCTAATTTCACGTAATTGTTTCTTAATTTGATAAAATTTGGTATTGATTTTTACTTAATATGCTAAGGTAATCGAATGCATATATGTTTTGCTTGAAGTTGACATCTGATCAAAGTTATCAATTTGGATACACTAACTAAAATTAATTACCAAAATTAGATTTTTCTTGCCTAAATTAGTTAGTAATTTTAAGCCGTTTCAACTTCAGGTGCTTGAAGTTACAACTTCAAGCCGATGTTAACTTTAAGTACGACATATATACATTCATACAAGTATTCAAAAAAAATTTATTTGCTATTTTTAACTATTTTGAAAATAGCAATAAATATATATTAGATTTCTCTATCAAGTAATAAATATGTTAGCACCTATTGAAAAAATTACACGCCATCTTTCTGGTGCAAACTATCCCACATTTAGTATGGTCTATCCATATATAGAAATACTTAAACAATCTTTAGCACCTTGGTTAAGTCAAGGAGAAACTGAAAAATCATATCTCTATTTAATTTATGACAATTTATCTAATGACAATAGTACTAATAATAGTTCTAGTTCAGTTAGTAATGATGATAATATACTTCATAGTGAAGCTCGTCAACATTGGCAATACGCTCATAAACAATTTCATCGATATATGAAGAGAGGAAGAAGAAAAAAACAAACAGGGGTAAAAAGAAAATATTTTAGAAAAAACAAAAAACATACTAATAATACTAATAATATTGAAGATTTGTCTTTTGTTGATGATCTTAATAGTCTGTTACAAAAAGTTCATGCAGTCATCTTTTTATTTTTAGATGAGCTTTGGGATATACCTTCAGATTTAGCTTTAGTCGCATCCATCCTTGACCTATGGTTTAAAACTTTTCAATAGGCACCAAATCAATTTGATCATGCTAAAATATTACTTGAGCAATCTTATACCAAAATGAAAACGGCTTTTGAATTATTAAATTTAAATAATCTTTCAAGTGAATCGGCAAACAATCCAATCTATAATAACAATGACGATAATGATTTTTTTAGTCAATTAAAGACTACACCCCGTCAAGCATTAGAACTAATTGAATTGAATGAGGTAACACGTTATTTAGCTTTAAATAGTATTGGACTCAATGAAGATCCAATCAAATGGTGGCAGTTACATAAATTCAGCTTTCCAATCTTGGCACAACTTGCTAGGAAATATCTTTCAATTCCAGCCTCATCCATCCCATCTGAAAGATTATTTTCAAATATTGGTAATCACATTACATCTAAACGAACATGGTTGGCACCTGAATTAGTAAATAAATTCCTATTCTTAAAAAGGAATAGCAAGTACATTGAAATATTTCAGCACAATAAATCTGCTTAAAATATTGCTGCATATTGATACGTATGTATTACTTATTAAAACATGCATATCAACTATATTTTGCTTGTTATAAAATATATATATTAGTATACATAATGCTTTCTGCTTAAAAAATGTTGTATGTACATGCTATATAGATATAAATATGCATTTATTAAAACAATTATATTTTACAACTATTTGAAAATATATATATTATGCACAATTTAACTGTTTGTCTAATCAATTGAAATCAATTTTCGGATAACTTATATATTTTAAAATACATTTTCAAAAATTATATACAACGTTTCGGTATAAGAGTTCATGAGTTATATTTTAGATATCCTTAAATTTATTTATTTTAAACGTGTTTTGGATTTATTGATTGTGGATGTAAGTTTCGTCTATGGTAAAATTTGAATTATGTTGTTTGATTGGTTGATAATTATATGCAAATGATCTCAATATATCAAGACGATTACAATTCGGTTTAAACTCCACCCGATTTGAATTTAAATAGCAACCGGTTTTAAGTCACATGAACTCAATTCGGTTTTAAATTTTCCAACCGGTTCCCACCTCTACTTACGAAACTACTTATTGTTGAAACTACCTACTGTGTACTCTCCCACTGCTAAAATTATGAATCTATTTATAAACCACCCAGCTAAATACAGGATTGAAGGGACAAAAATGACTATTATTAAAGCATGAAAACACGTAAATTTGTGTAAACTATAACCCACCAGTTTGAGAAGATACAAATGTACAGGACTCTGTCTTCATACCTTACCTCTTAATTATGTTTATCATAGAAAAAATTATTTGGGACCAGCTTTACTGTAACTCAAACCTTATTACAAACAGATACTATCGATTGCCTATTTATTACTGGGCATTATCTATAGATCTTTATTCCTTTTGCCGGTCAGGATGCCTGATGAACTTTGTCTCTCATACATTGATGCAAGATACGTAATTATTGTCAGTTAAAATTTAGGTTTCAATTTAAAAACTTAAGTAAATTACTCAATCCTAATGCAACTATTTTGCGCAGCCATTTTATGAATAATTATCATGAATATTTCAAATATTTCAATTAATAAATAATCTTGATTATTACAGATTGAATTAATATGCAAATAAAAAGTAACTTAATTTTTCAATTGACAAATATATTTTTATATTCATAAACTAGAATAAAATAACTAAAAAAAAATAATATTTTTGTACAATTTTTATAACAAGCTCAATTATTTTATTTATCAAATATGGTTAGTAAAC